TTTTTCTTTTTGCTTATGTGGTGCTAAGGAATCGAACCCAGGGCCTCATGCATGCAAGGCAAACACTCTACCACTGAGCCACCTTCCCAGCCCCCATCTCAAGCTTTAAGAAACTACCTCTGCCTGTGTAAAGGGCAGGGGGCAGCCAACCAGAGCAGAGCCAAGTGCATGCCCCGGGCAGGGGGCTGATGAGATGTTTATTCGTTGAGCACAGCACAGATGTGGACTCTTCATGCACTGATAGGAGGGAAAAAAACACACACACACAGGAGTCGCGTGCTGCTGTCCTGCAGGCTCAGCTTGGGTTTGTATGTGAATGTTGCACCAGTCACGATTAAATGTCAAACGCTAGTGTCCCAAGAGGGGACAGCTAGCCTTTTGTTTCAGGTCAGGACAGGAGACGGCTGGCCTGACTTCCACTTGTGTCACAGGCAAGGAAGGACAGGGAAGCTACGCGTTCCATGTACCTGTGTCTCCGTGGGGTTCATAGATGGTGCCTGCACAGAAGTTGTACAGCGAGGTTTCCATCTTGAGCAGTGCCGCCTTCACCCCCCCGTCCCCCCCATCCCCCCCGTCCCCCCATCCCCCCCGTCCCGACGCTCCCGAGGCACGTTGGGTTTTGTGCACTGCATTGGGTGTGTCGTGCACCTGCTCCCCAGCTTCCCTCCCGTCCTCACTGCCCTCCCCACCTACATTTTTTTTGTCTTAGAAAGTTTGCTTACTGAATGACAACCTGACTGTGCTTTGAAAACGTCTTCAGGTTGTGTCTGATCCTAGATCTGTTCCAATTTAATTTTTGGTTTTCATGAGTAAAACAATGTTAATTCAGAATGACCAGTCACTCACGTGGAGTAATGCTCATAGACTAGCTCGTTTATGAGAACCAGCCGTTAAATAGGATGGGCTTTTATCTGTCACCGAAATAGAGAGCAGTTGAGTTTGAGTGGTCAAGGGAGGAAGAACGGTCATTTTCCAATATGGTGCCATTTAAAGTGGCTTCTTTGCATTGTGCCCTGAAGATGTTCGTGGAATAGTCTTCACTCGTGCATGACTTGTTTGATTTGGGACTACAAAAGCTGGTAGACGAAAATTGCTGAGATGGCTTCACTGAATATCTGATGTTCAGTGAGAAAACTGGGTCACTACATGATTCTCCACTTGCGTCTTCTGTGAAGTGATGTAATATTAGTTGTGCCTGAATTAACCTGTATGGTGTATTTTAGTGCGGGGGGGGGGGGACCCCGCAGCAGTAATAAAGTTCTTGCTGTAAAGATCTTGCTGATTTTTTGCTGTTAATTGTCACCATTAGGGAAAGCCAGAGTAGCCGTGGGGCTCGCTGTGTCTGGAGCGGGCTCGTTGCTGGCTTTCTCTGGTTGGTCGTCTGCTCATTCGTTACTGACCGGGCAAGGGCAGCTCCCTCGCGGCTCAGCAGCCCCGGGCCGTGCTGGGGTCTCAGTGTCTCCGGACAGTGTTGCGGAGACTTGGCCTGTGCTCTGCTCCACACGAGTTTAGCCCCGTGACTTACGTGTACCTGTCACAAGTGGACAAGCCGACAGCTCTCTCTTACAAAGCACCGCTGCGGGAAGCGCAGGACTGTTCAATCCTGGCATTTATAGTGTCATGCCAATAAGCCCGGCTGCCGGCGCGTGCGCGCTGCTGCTCACTTGTCATGTTTGGGTTGTCCTGTCTTGGGACTGACAAGAAATTCGGATATATAAAAGGGGGAATTGACAGGAAGAAGTGTTACCGTGTATGGATGAAAATGGGAAACGGTTTTGGGATTCCCTATCAAAGGCAGTCAGCTGTCCTGTAGCCGGGTATGGTGTCCTGAAAGATGGTTAACTGGATGCACCCTGGTGCTCAGCGGCACTGGCTGCCGCCATCTTCTCCAGTACCTTTTAACCTGATGCATGGTTGCAGGTTTGGTATGTGAATGGGCCACGGCTGTGCGGGTGGACGGCTTTGCCCTTTCATTCACACACACGGCAGCATGGAATTAGAAATATTTATTCAGAATATAAGAATGTAAAACATTATAAATGTCTCTGTATAAATAGTGTTTTTGGTTTTTAAAAAGACACGTTTTGTATCAAATAACAACACAAAGCTATTTTACAGCAGCTAAAACTACAGGCGTGTGCCAGCGCTGAACGCGTCCAAGTGAAGCATGTGAAAATGAGTCACACGGTGACGCTCAGAACACACGGCACGAGGCGGGCCACACCCAGGCGGCGCGCTGAGAACTCAAGTGGTTTCAAAGCACGCTTTCAGTCGGTGACTTAGGGGGCAAAGTAAGTCTTGACGAAGATGTCTGCAGACGGATTTGCGGTGGGGACGTGGACGCACTTCCTAACCTCTGGGTTGGAGGCCCAAGGAGACAGATGGGCCGGGGGTGCGATGGCTGTGATGGGGACCGAGTGCAGAGGTGAAGGTGGAGAAGAGCTCTTCAAGCCTCGGCCTGGGCAGGGCGGTGCCAGCTTGCCGTTCTGCTGCTCGGGATGTGTGCTGTGAGCCTGCGTGAGCTTCTGTGCGCTCCTGTCGTGCGCGCCCCGGGTCCAGTAGAGGGCACCAGAGACCACGCCTGTGCCCGCGAAGCGGCTGCCTTGGCCTGTGGGCTCAGGCAGCTGAGGTGAGGCCCAGCGGGGGTCCTTCAGGAGGCCACAGGCTCAGCGCTGACGTGGACCCCAGCTACTGGAACCCTTGCTGCCACTCGGTCCCCACGTGCAAGCAGCGGCTGTGTGGCATGGGTTACTTTTGCTCTGTAGCAAGTCAGTCTTTCTACAGACTACGGAGAGTCAGATGGGACACTTGGCACAAGAGGCCATTCCCCAGGTGAGTACAAGTTTCTGTTCTTCCGCATGGAGAGAAAGCCCCCTCGCGTGTCTGCAGCAGGTGTGTGTGTGGTCTCTTGATTTCACAGGTAACCATGACACCCCAGACTCTGGAGTGCCCTAGAAAGGAAACGGACAGACTTGCCCGTCACCTGCAGTGTGGCTGTGGGGTGCCGGGGACTGGAGCTGGAGGCGCCCCTGTGCCGCAGCCATGGCCCCCACCCTCCTTCATCCCAGCAGTGTCGGGAAGCCTTTGGGGGCTAGCATGGGGTTTTGTTTTTTTGGTTGGTCATGGGGCCTGAACTCTGGGCCTGGGCGCTGTCCCTCAGCTCTTCAGCTCAAGGCGAGCGCTCTACCACTCGAGCCACAGCACCGCTTCTGGTTTTCTAGTAGTTTATTGGAGATAAGAGTCTCATGGACTTTCCTGCCCAGGCTGGCTTTGAACTGTGATCCTCCAATCTCAGCCTCCTGCGTAGCTGGGCTGCCCCGCTGGTGTGGGCTTTTTAACCTCGGACTTCTCCAAGGTGGCGGGACAGCGCTGCTGTGGCTCAGAGGAAGATGGCATCTGCGAGGAGCAAGCACGCGCCGTGGCCTCACGTTGCATTTCGGGCAGGGTGGACGGCGACTGCACAAGCGGCGTGCCGAGGCTAGAACTCGGGGCGCACCTGCCTGCGGTGGGAGGCGGGACGGCAGGGCGGGTCTCCTGTCCTGGAAGCCAAAGCCGGGCCGGGCGGAGGGCCGCGGCCCTCAGCGGAGGCGGGCCTGACCACAGCGCAGGCCGGCCGGGCGGGCAGCAGCCTTCCTGCTTCCCCTGCGCTTCCCTGAAACCGTCCGTCCGGTGGCCCAGCCTCCGGGAGGCCAGATGTGTGCCCAGGGCGCCCGGCCCGGCGTGCAGGGGCCCTCCCTGCCAGCGCGCCCGGGCCCTGCGCCCCTGGGAGATGCCAATGCGGCCCGTCCGACCAGCCATTGTGCTCGCGGCCGCACAGCCACGGCCCCCCCTGCCCCGTTCCCGGGGTGGGGAGCCCCACGCACCATCATCCCGGAGTCCGGGACAGCCGGAGTCTGCGTGTGGCTGGCCCCCGGTGGAGGGAGAGCCCGGCGAGTGCGGGGAGAAGGCGCGGGGGGCGGCGGGGCGGGCGCCCCGCTGTCGCGCGTGGCTGCGGCGGCCTCAGAGCGACGTCTCGTTGGTGTGCGGCCTCGAGTTCTCCTCCTCCAGCAGCGCGATCCTCTGCTTGAGCATGCGCACCTGCGTCTCGTGCCTCTCCACCATGGCCATCATCTGCGACTCCAGCTTCTTCAGCTTGTTCTGGTGCTTCTTCTTCGCCTTCTCGTAGGCGGCCACCAGGTTGCTGGGGGTACAGGCGGCGGGGTGGGGAGTGAGGCTGGGCCCCGAGACCCCGCACCCCGCACCGCCACACCCCACGGCGCGCGGCCGGCCCGGCTGCGCCCGACCCGGCGACGGCCAGCCAGGCCCGCCCAAGGAGGCCGTCTCCGCTGCTCAGCCCCCCTCCAGCTGCAGCGTCAGAGTGGGGTCCCTCGGGCTCCGAGCACCCCAATCTGTCACGCTGACCCGGGCGAAGCCACCTTCCAACAAAAGCGCTGTGCAACCCGCAGTGAGCGGGCGGAGCGCTGCTCTGAGCTGAAGGGCGGGCGCCTGTCCGGAGGGCTCAAAGCCAGCCTGGGCAGCGAAGTGCCTGAGACTGATCTCCCGTGAACCACCAGGAGACCACAAGCGGCGCCGTGGCTCACGTGGTAGAGCGCCAGCTTTGAGCCGAAGAGCTGAGGGACGGCGCCCAGGCCCAGAGTTCAGGCCCCACGACCGACCTCACCCCCCCTTCCAAAAAGGCCTCAGTGGCTGCAGGGGTCGCAGGCCTGGGGTGGCGGCCT